TTTAGACCCTATAACTAGCAGCAGGGACATACCTGTATCTCAGCAGATCTACCACACAGGTGGATGATGTGTATCCCAAGCATTTTTCACCCTTTCCTTCTTATTCTCTTCTTGCAGGAAAAATCTGAGGCTGCGAGAGAGAGTTGATGAATGGCAGTGGCAAGGAGAGATAGAGGGAAGAAGTGAATGGCATGGGAAACTCTTCCGGACATATTTTAAAAGCTGTATCCCTGCTGCCTTAATACATCTGATCTGTGACATTCAAAGCATCTTTTTGGTTTGGAAAAGGAATGTGGGATTAGACAAGAGGTAGCTAAGATAATAACAGTGACCTGGGTTCCTTGGCGCACCCATTACTGCCTCTGTCTCTGGTTGCCCTTCAGGGTAGTAGGATCTGCCACGATTGACAGTCAAACCCCTTGCACTGAGGCACTGGGATCAGAGTCAGTGAGCCATGCCACAGGAATTAAGAATTAGGTGCCCACATCTGGGCACCGCATTTTCTTTCATCTGCAATGCTGATACATGTTCCCTGCACACTGTAGCCTGCCATAAAGGTCTTTGTATGGCAGAGTGGTGGAAACTTCACAGTGGGGAGTGTATGAACTGAGATGTGTGTGCTGATAACAGCGTAATGCCAGAAGGCAGCACTTAAGAGGCCCCGAGAGGGGCCCATGAAGGCTGAAAAAGGACAGCAATTATCATTCTGTAAAAACCTGCTACATTTTTGTCAAGATAAGGAACCCTACCCTGCATCACTTGCTGGGTTCCTGAGCTTTTTCAGATCCCTCAAAAAAAGTTCACAGACTCCCCTCTACCCTCAAATTTCAAAACTTTTTTCTCCAAAACCTACTTCTTCCTCTTGTCTGTGTCTCCAACACTTGATAAATAATGTGATCTTGAGGCACCACTTAAACCTGTGTAACTGGGGTTCCCTTCTCCTTAACTTTGTCCTAGAGAACATGATTTTTAAAATAGGGAGAAAATCCATTAAAAACAAAATTGGAAAGAGGCTAACAAAGAGGCAGAACAAACTTCCACTGAAATTTTAATGGAGTTAATGCACTTGACCATTTCCAGTTTTTTTTTTTTGTTTGTTTGGGTTTTTTTTTTTTCAGATGGACTCCCAGGTCTTAGCTCTTTGTCCGTGTATATGTAGAACATAAAAACAAACCAAGCCCAATTCCTACACAGGGAGACTGGTATGACCTCTCCTGCATTTCTGGGAAAAAGAGATGAGGTCCCGTGGGGTAGGGGTGGGGCTGTAATTTGCTCTCCAGCTGCTGGCAGGATGTACTTGAAGGTTCGTCAAGCAATGGGAGGCTGACCCCTCTCCCTACAATAAAATGTTAAATATTTTTCAATGTGCAATAATTTGCACTTGCTCTGATTCTGACTGATAAGTCTTGTGCATAGTGCTCCAGCTGTTTTAGGAAAGAGGATCTATTCTGCCTTCTCTATATATGGCCACAGGGCAGGGGAAACAAATGCCAATGCGCTATCACTGGGGAGAGGAACAGTTGATGTATCTTTATCTTTTTTCCTGTATCTGATTCTTTTAACCTACTTTCATTGTTCCACATCCATAAAAAGTACTGCCGAATCCACTGATGAATCAAAATTTTCCTTTGTAATAGCAACCAAGAGCTTCATAACAGGCTGATGGATGTTTGGAGGGCCAGGGCCAGTGCTGCTGGAAAGAGTTTGAGAAAGTAAATCCCACCAGTCATGCCTATGCTGCTAAGATAACACAGAATATTTTTTAAATGCTTGTGTTATACATAGTCTGAATGCACCTTTATGTACCGTGGGCTTGTTCATTAATTGTGTCCCCGCAGTGATCACAGGGGTGAGATGTATTGTGCACTGTTTATATACAATTTTTCTCATGCTGAAGAGACCCCGTCACGGGCTGCTCCAAGTGAAAGGACATTTGTGTGCCAGAAAACAGCCCCATCTCAACTCAAGACAAGAGCCCTCAGATGATGACAGAGTGAGGACTGCAATGAAATAACGAGAAAGTATTGAACGGCCAGAGGTCTTAGCACATGACTAGCCTTATTCATGGCTTTCTCTAGGCATCCTGGAAAGGGACAGTCTCAGAAGGGAGCTGACAATGCTAACAGCATAATTCTGGGGAGCACAAAGAATGGCTAAGTAGTTGGGAAAAAAAAAAACCTCAGGAGAGAAGCAAGTCATGAGGCCAAGGGAGGAAAGACTTGAAAACTAAGCAGAGCTGGCTATTTCAAATCGACTGAGAGGACACAGCTGGAAAACTGGTCCTGAGAATTGGCATGGCAGGGAATTGGCCCTGGAGATGGAGACTGCAGAGTGGAAGCTGGACTGGAGTGAATCTGGGGTGGAAATTGGAGGACAGGGACTCTGGCGGTGATTGTAGCGGGACTAGGTGAGAGATATTCCAGGTGAGAGATAAAAGAGAGATGACAGCTGAACAGGCAAGAAAAGATGCAGGATGGAACACAAAGGGAAGGAGATGAAGAACCTGGCACCCACATTTCAGTGAGGCCTGAGACAGAGGAGATGGCTGCAGAGGCACTGTCAGAGCTCTAGGATCCAGGACTGTGAGACAGCAAGATAGGAAGAAGTCTTAACCAGTTGCAAAGGGTTTGATCCATCTGACTTTCTCTGATCTTGAAGCCACACTTAAACAGGAGGATTCTTGGAAAACTAGGTGCCACAGGTGTATGTCAGGGCTCCCTGAGGTGATCGCTAGCCCATAAAACTGTGCTGAGCTGGAAGGTCCCATCTGGCCATTTTGCTACTGATAGACTGGGTGTGAAAGAGGATGGCATGTCTTTTCAGGTGCCAGGAGAGAGGTGATATTGTGACTGCCTCTAGCTGTCCCTGTAAACTTGTCACACAGAAATCAGCCAGAGCCCTGCTCCCACTTCTACAGCTGCTGTCTGTACCAGCATGAGAGGTGGCAGAAATGTGTCCCGGCCAGTCCCTCCATGGCACAAGGGATTTCGGAGTGGCAAGTGCTTGGCCCCGTCAGCAGGACCTACCATGAGGAGTCCCCCGCCCAAAAGCACTCAGGTTCATGCTGCACAGATCCTGCATCTGTGTGTCTGTGTGTGTCCTCGTGTCAGTGTGCAAATATTTTTGGCACGAGTGATCGCTCCCTTCTCTGTCCTCTCCCACCCAGAGACAAAGTGAGGAGGAGGAGTCGACACTGAGTCAGAGCTAGGAAGGGAAGAGGAAACCTGAGCATAAAGCTGTTGGCCTCAGAGGCGTAGGGAGGATTCATATAGTTCAGTCTATCTGTGCATCCATCCTCCCCCTTCCCTTTTCCAAGGTCTGAATGCTGCAGTTGGCAGGGGCTGGCATGCAAACTCAGAGCCACATGTGTCATCCATGTCTCCGTGCTCCTCCAGGCCATCTGTGGTCCATGCCTTGTGCCAGCAGCTTGAGAATGTCATGGAGGGGATGGAGCCAGGGCTGCAGAGGGCATACATAAGGCAGAACCATGCCTTGCCTTCTCCCAGCTCGCCACCTCCATCCCCCACGTCCTGTAGTGATGCTGCTGAATGCTGATGAGGTAATCTGCTGAATGCTGATGGCCTCTCTGTAATCTGTCATTTTGGGGGAGGGTTTCCTGAGGAGGGATGCAGCAATGAGGAGAGGAGGATTGTTTTGTTCTGGTCTGTAGGACCAATGGGCATTTTTGTTCTGAAAAGTCCAGGCCTGATCTGCCCAGTCTCTCTTGTCATGAGATGAGTTTCTTTTCCCCCTGTCAGTTGTCCATTGCTCCCACTCTGTCCATCTGAAGTTGGGCCATGAGGGGGGATTTATCTCACCAAAATCAATGAAAAATAAATCCTGGGGGGGGGCGGAAATCCCAAGAAAACCCAAACACAAAACTTCCTTTCTCTTTCTGTATCCTCCACACATTCTCCTTCTTCCCAGCCAATACAAAGATATCATCCTCTAAGCTTTCTCTTGGTGAGCAGAGCAATAGGCCCCAATTAAACAAGCACGCGATGGCTGTACAGCTTGGTGTGTCCTCGGGGTTATTTCTTTAAGGCCAGCTCCTGAGATGCTCGGACAGACTTGCCTCAGTCCCTGCTCTGAGCATTTTTCACACGCACAAACTTGGCTGTGGTCGAGCTTGCTGGCTCACTCAATCCATCATGCTGACAGGCAGCCACTGGTGTCACAGTGAGCAATGTGCCCATGTATGTGGTCCCTGGCCACCAGCAATGTGCTGACCTGGTGAGACTTGCAACAGGGGGTAAATGGCATTAGATCATGAAGGGGCAGGCTCTGCTGATGTGAGCATGGGGCAATACCCAGAAATGCATCCTCCTTACTCTTCTCGTTGCTTGTGTGAGTTCTGTCAGCATTGCCCTGCCCTTTCTCCCTGTTCTCACATCGCCCCGGAGTCAGGCTTCCAATGCAGAAATGTATCTAGGCTTTTGTGTGGTATCTTAAAGCATGATCCAGCTGGCAATGAGTATTACTGAACAAATAGTGGTATGGAAACTGTGAGAGATGAGCTCCCCTCAGAAATCTTCTCCAGCCCAGCCAGAAAACCCAGTTCCCCAGTTCCCTTTCAAATCCAAAAAGGGTTTGTATCAGGAGGGGCAACAGCTATTTGCCTCCTCAGTTATCCAGAGAATACAGCAAAATGTGATCCCAAAAAAGGCAGGTTCAGTAACCTTGCAGGTGGGTCTGCCTGAGTGGCTGTCACCTTGCTCTGTCCCCTGGGGTGTATGCAAAGTCAAGAGCCCCAGTGGCCACCCAGACCCAGAGTGGGGTGCCCGGGTACCACCTTCTTGAGGCTGCTGCACATTTCTCCAACACCCATTGCAGTTTTGCCTCTGTCTAATCCACGCTCTCATGTTTCTAAAGCTCTGACACGGACAGCAATGGTGCAGAGGTAGAATCATGATGTTATTGCCCTTCCTTGGTGTCTCCTCAAGCGACAGGAACATCTTTTTCTTTCCCTCTCCTTTTTTTTTTCTTCTTTTTTTCCCCAGGACTGCAAGTGCAACTCTCCTGCTGCAAAGTGCGTGCCCGCTTAATCAGCTAAAGGAGCAATATTGTGCAAAGTGCCCCCCACCCAACAGGCTGCTCTGCAACAGGAATCAATCAGGTCCCAACTTTCCAGCTGAGGTGTAGAACCTGGTAACACCCTGCATCTTGTGACCAGCTGCCCTCACTCAGCAGTGATGGGAATGTCCTTGAGTCTTTATGGACCTGTTCCTGCAATGCAGCTTTTCAGCTGGTGAGGAGACCTTGCAGTGATGCATCAAGTGGTAAGGAGGGGTTTCATCACTTTTTCCATTATAAAATAGCTTTCCCTCTTCCCCCTGCCCTTCCCTTCTCCCCCAAGGATCACTGCCAATTGACACAGAGTTGCAATGGGATATTCACAGACTTAATCTCATCCCTGTTTGAAGAGAAACCTGGTGAGTTATTTTTAACATTTGTACATATCTGAATGATATGAATGTGGTCTGTTGTGCTGTGAGCCACGAGCACTCCAGAGACCTGGGGCTGAAAAGAGAATCAGCTTTTAAATATTAAGTGGGAGGCACTTCACTGACCTCTTCTCGATAGATATGTGCTTGCTCCATTATGTCTTCAGCTGGGACCCAGGCCAAGCTGGGGCCTCTGCCTCCTCCAGCATCAGTGGCTTTGGTCCTTGCTGACCCCCATGGAAGGAGAGATGAGGATGTGCTCTGCCCCCAGGACACCCTCAACACCTTCCCTGGTATGGCCAGGTCCCAGACTGAAATGTCAGTGATGCAGGAGGGTCTGCGCACCCTTGGAGCTGGTGGGCTGCTGACTAGGACATGGCCACAGTGTGAAGGGGTGCTGAAGTCTGTGGGAGCTGTGCAATGTTGGGGGGATTGTTGACTACAGCAGACGTTGTTGGTGACTGGCGTGTAACTAATTGTGTTCACGTTTCCAGAGGAGACTGTAGGATTTGTAGAAGCAAATAAGTAATTTGTTTGCTTTTTTGATTAGACTCACTTGTGATTGCAAGCCAAAATTAGTAACTTGGTGGAGACAAACAAAAGCACTTTGGACACACCGGGCCTCTGTGGATTACCCCATTCCTCCCTCTTCACCCCTTGATATATGCCCTAATATGGAGCTTTGGGAGGTAGTTTCTTGTCCATCCCTATGACCTCCTAGTAGTGCTGCACCATCCCTTACCCATACTGGTGGGTATTCTTTTCTCCCCCTGCAAGTAGCACAAGGTCCCTTGAGAAGAGGAAGTAGGAGCAGCCAGGGTCTGTTGATGTGGGTGTGCAAAGCTCTCTGCTTCCTCTGCTACAGGTTGCAGAGTCCCATGGGGCTGGTGTCAAAAGCACAGGTGAGCCCAAAGCTACAAGGGCAGCATTAGCACTGCACTGAGATGTGTGCCACAGCTGAAATCTCTTGGCAAGCCAGAGGGTTGATCAATCACTTGCACAACTTGCTATCCAGGCTCTTCTGGTGTTTAGTTATGTGGACTAGAAAGGTACTCTTAAAAAGTTAGATTCTGCTCTTACCACATGAAAGCCCTTTTCATGAACCTTTAGTATCTGAAGTAGTGGCTTATATAACCAAAAAGCAATTGACTAATCCAACATAATTTCTATCATCTTGCATGACATCCAATCCCAGTTTAAATAATGCTACTGATGGAAAATCCCCTGCAGCCCTGGGGATGCAGTCCTACCATTTAAAACAAAATTGTGCCTCATTTCTAATTGCAAATTACCTGAACACAGCCTTGGCTGAAATCCAGTCTGGACTGTATTTGCATTGGAAGACTATCGTGTGGGTTTACCTTATCTCACTGGAGGATAATCATTACAGCCCATCTCCCTCTTTGCCATGACTGCAATCAGTGCAGCCATGTGTGCTGGGGCATGCACAGTGGAGGACTCCTGCTGACTTACACACCTCTCCTCCTGCCAGAGAAAACACTTCACCTTCTCTCAGTGTTGTGTGTCATGTCCTATTTGGTGAGAATGACCCTTTTTGGCAAAGGCACAGCACACCTGGATGAGGAGAAGCTCTTCTCCTGGGAGGATGGTTGCTGTTCCCGTAATAGGCAGATGGCTTGGAGGAGTGAGTGGGGTTTGGATCTCATCTGATGCTTTTGGGATACAGTCAACAGACTTGGTGCTGGTCTCAGGCCTTGGCAGTGCACAGGGCTGCCTGCATGGGGACTGCAGTTGAAGGATGCAGTCTGCATCGAAGCCCATGGGTGTCTCTTGCACTTGGAAATAAAGGTTTGTTAATGAAAGCATTGGAGATCTGTGACTGTGAGCAGCCAGAGATGCTGATGGAGAGAGTCATGCTTGGTAATATCAGGGAAATGGCTGCTGTGGGGCAGCCTGGTTGGGCACTGAGGTTGTCTTTCTGCTAGCAAAAGGGAGAGCTGTGGTGGGGTCAGGAGAAGAGTGGGATAGAGGGGCTGGTGGAGAAGAACCATAGGTTGCTCAAGGTGATGTGTGTCCACTGCATGGTGTGCACCTCTTCTGGTCTTGTGCAGTGATCCTGTCCTTGCCAAATAGAAATAGTAAAATGTGAGAGAAAGGACTTACTTGACTTAGTGATACACAAGCCATAAATCACCAAGCTTTTTGGAGGTAACATAGCAGCTATTAAGTGAGGAAGGATCTTCTTTATAAGATGAAGTATTTTTTAATTATTTATTTCTCAGCTAATGTTTAATTTCTAAGCTTTTACTCTGCAGCAGCTGTTTGAGTCAGAGTCAGGACACCTGTGACAGATTCTGCTGGATCAAGGCCGCTTTCTCTGGCTTTGTGCAGCCCTTATGAATTTTGACTGTGTTTGAAAATTGTGTGTCTGTGAATGGCTGACGGAGGAAAAAATATACTTTGCTAAGCCACAGGTGAGCTGTGGCAGCTGCCCATGCATGCTTCCCTGGTCTGTGGCGAGCACAAGCTGTGATGATCTGAGATCTGTGTCAATGTGAAGGGATGTGTCTTTCCTGGTGTCACTGCCAGCTAAAGGGATGCTTCTGGGCTCTGCTGCTGTGCACTGATTTGTGAAGCTGAGGCTTAAAATTGGGGCCAGATAGATCTGAGAAATGAAAATGTCTATTGCTCACTTGTTGCCTGTCTGGAGGAAGTCTACTGCACATAAAATGGGTCTGCTGCTATTGGTTTTGGATGCCTGTGTTTCTGGGGACTTCACCTTTTCACTGATGCGAGTTTCACCATTTCATTATCCAGTGATGCAGATACGAGGGAAAAGCTCACTTTTGAAGGGCTGGGCCAAAAGTGCTTTCTGATATGAAAGCAAATTCCTGCAGAGATCAGGTCTTCTATGTGAATAAATTAGGGGTGACTAAAATGAAGGTAAAAAACTTCTAAAACTTTCAAGCTAGAGAAATGTCACTGTGGCTGGATAGAGGCAATAGAACACTGTGGCAGGACATCTTCCTCTGGAAAACAGCACTCTAGTCTCCAGTACAATATGCAGCTGTGATGGGAGGGACATGCAGACAGTGTAATAGAAACTGTAGCCTGCCTTCTGGACAAAATACTACCTTCTGTATTGTGGGTTGGAACTGCTCTTTCCTTGAGCTTCACCCTCTTTGGAAAGCCTGTGGTAGTTCTCATCGGCTACACCTTTAAATAGCAAATACTCTGATTTCTAGGAAGAGGTTGCATTAAAGTGTGGGCACTTGCAGATATTCTCTCACTAAAGGTCACAGACTCATGTCGAACTCTAAGTGAGGTCCTCTGTGTGGATGAAGGCTCCCTTATGTGGTGAGATGAAAGGGGGTTGACTGGCAGACTGGAAATGTTTATAATGAATACCTATATCAGCATATAATTTTTTTTTTTCATTCTACTGCAGGATGCTACACACCAAAATAGAACATATGGTAAATGGACTGGAATATTTAACTTTTGTCTTCTGAATGCTAGAGATTTGTGCTACTTTGGGGCTTGACTTGAACTCAACCTGCCATAGACATGAGGGACATCTGTTATGGTCTGGCAAAAGCCAGTGGAGTTTTGCTGACGTAAACCCCAAACTTCTGCATGTGTGGCCTGGTTTGGCTGAAGCTGCAAGCAAAACAAACTACTTCTCTCCTCATACAGTAATGAAAAGCCCTTATTCCCATTGCAGGAAGCCTGTATGATAGAGTTCTGTTTGACACATCTGGGAGCCTAGGCTGGCTGCATCTGTAGGAAAGAGGAGTTGTTTCAGGTGGGAGGGATGTCTCTACTGTCATGCTGCTCCCAGGGAAGAGGCCTGGGCTCCAGCAGACTTTAATGTCAGCAATCTGAGCCTGCCAGTGGACTGGCCTGTTGGCAGGAGCAGGGTTAGCAGAGCTGAGATAGATAGTATGTGAAGTTGGCTTGTTTAGGATGGGATCAGTCTTTTGGAAGTTGTTAGTGCTGCTACCTTCATTTATCTCTCAGTTGTATTCAAGCTGGCTTGTTTTCATCATTCAACAGCAGTTCTTAGCAATCTACCTTTTGTGAAGGTTGATACTGAGCTATTAAAGCAGCCGTATGCATATCTGTCTAGTTGGGGAAGGGAATGCAGAAAGGACTCCTGTGGTACCCATTTGGAGAAAATACTTCTGAAGACAGCATCCTTTTGTAAATCCAGCTTTGGGACACAACATGCACAGCTTCAGAATAAAGATCCCTTGTATGCAAGCTCATTTGCAAAGAAATGCAGGAGCAGGGCTGTTATGGTAGGTTGAGAGCCTATGTGGAACCAAGTGAAGTTAAAAATAAAGTATTTTTAATCTCACTTTAAGAAGAATTATCTCAATGGGACTGAACCCAGGTTGCATACCCTTACAGCAAATGCAAAGGCAGATGAAATGCAAATTAGTCTCCCCTTCCCTCCCACTTGTCCACACATCTGCCAGTTGTTTCTGACATGTGAGGACAGACTTTGGAAAATCCAGCCTGCTCTCCAAAGGACCGGGTGTTAGCACTTATCTGTTTATGTTAGTGATGAAAATGGAAAGTATGAGTGGGGAGGGTGAGAGGTGCCAGGGTGATGCCTTAATTCATTGCTTCATAGAGGAGGGGGTGGGTTGGTGAAGGTTTCCCTGGGGCATACAGTAGTAAGTCCTGAGAAGGAACATCTGAAGCAAGTCTGCCAGGGGTGCCCTTTCCCTGCCTGTCCCTGCAGCATGCAGTGTTCTGTGAATGCTCTTATTGCCACTTTCTCCTCATTAGTGCCCACAGCTTCTGTGGCTGACCACAGCACATGCCTGATGCCTGCCAGCTAGCAGCAGCCCCACAGCTTCAACACATCTCAGTCTAATTCCATGAAATGTTATTTTTAGATGCTTTTTCTCAGAGTGATACTGGGAGTTATACCAAGGAAAAAAGAAACTGCAGATGTTCTCCAGGAGATCTGGCCACAGCAGTGGTGCTTTGCAGTGTCTCTGAGCAGTCCTCTGGCA